ACGGGGGGTGTGGGGTTTGGGTTAACGAGTGGCTGCTTGTTTTGGTGTCTTTCAGTGGAAACTTCCAGAACACGGCCACACAGCCCGGAAGACCCACACCAGCCATCGTATTCCATATTTATTGGTGTGTTTTATAATATATACATGCACTATATATATTGCATCCTAACAAATCTCTGCTAGAGGAACGGTTCTTAAACACATTGTCTTAATACTGTAGTTAATGGATTTGGAAATTATTTCAGGATAAAAGAAAGCAAAGAGTGATTTTTGAAAGTAGGGTAGCAGTTTGGGGAATGGTTATTACAAAGGCACAAATAGCTTGTAGGAATTAGGACAATATATTTCAGAAGAGTATACTTTATTATATGGAAGTCGGAAAGGTTCTTGCTGTGGTACTTTGCAGAAATAATTAAGGTATTTTTAATAAAACATTAGCATTGTACAAATGTTTATTTAATTTAATACCTTTATGGTTGTCTATAACTCTTGCAATTTTTATACAACTTTATTTTTTTAGGATTAAGTTAGCTATAATTATATACTCTACATCTTATGTATTCAACAATGTCTAATTGCAGTGTGTACTAATTTTTTTAGTTATGGGAGAATGTTAGAGGATGAAGGAAAGTATCTGCTTGATGGTGGAATGCTCCTTACTGATCTTGAACAATATAAATATTAGGGATGTTCAAAATATTTCAAATACAGAAAACTGTAACTTGAAACACCCTGATTCATATTCAGACAGGCTGATCTAACCTTGCTGGACATGTGCTGACCCTGGATCATTCTCACAGTGTTTCAGGCCTCTCGAAATAGGACTATTTCCAGTGTGCAACACTATCAGTCACAGTGTTGAAATAGTGAATTCAAAATATTATGTACACTGTTAATAAAGCCAGCTTAACTTCTCATGTTCAGAGATTAAATTAAGTACATTCAGGATTCACATAGTCCTAACCTATTTCAAGAGAAAGCATGGATACATATTCTGTACTGAATTAGGCTAATGTGCATAGATATAGAGACACAGAAATCAAAGCAGGGATCTTCCAAAGCAACTCCAAACTAAAATGACAATTCTAAAACTTTTGTTAAATGATTCAAAATGGAATAAATAGAGTCTATATTTGCTTGATTTAAACTTAGAATGTGTGAACCCAGGCAGTGTATTTCTAAAAATAGACTAAAAGGTAAAAGCTCCTTCAGGTTGTCTATTGATGCCTTTATGGACATGTCCTTGTAGTTTTCTTGCCAATAATATGGAAGTGGATTGTCATTTCCTTCTCCCAGGATGTTGTTTTGACTTCTCAGTCAGCCCTATGATTTCCAGGTGGTCTTGCACAGCAGTATGAATTTGTTGGATCCTGCTTAGTTTTTTTCCAAGCTCAGTCAAGGCTGCCACCTGCTGTAGACTGAAAAGATACATGGCTCTATAGAAAGCCAACTCTTGGATAGGAGGAAAAGGAGAAGTCGAGTTATGACTGACATTTCTAGCTTCTAATTACAATGGATGGAAAGACATAATGAAATCAGTCACAAAGCTTTGAGTGGAGCAGGGGAATTTGAGACATGTTGCAGAATTCTTTGCCTCTCACAATGGCAGCATCCTCTGCAGAGCCCAGAAGAAATCCCCTTTTCTCTAGCTTCTGTCCTTACATATTTATCTCCCCAAAGTTTACATGCAGCCTGCAGATGCTTCCAGATAATTTAGGCTTTTTTCCTACCTGCCTATATTCTGTGTGTGGGGCCTTGCACTTGGCTGTTGGAGCTCCTGGGGAAAAAAAAAGATTAACACCTGATATTTATAATCTGCAAAGAAGAATCATGTTTTCAAGCATGGCAGGTCACTCTGTGCCCATTCTAAAGAGTATATACTCCTGGTTTATTCCCCTTAATTCATTTAGTATAGCCAGGAACAGTGATGTCGTAATTGAGTCAGGCATCAGCCTGAAAACACCTTTATCTTTGGAAACAGTGTTGGGACCCTCAAACATTTAATGAAAAAAAAAATAGAGATAATTTGTACTAATCCGATGTTCAGATATTCTGCTAATATATGTTTAGTCCCAAAGAAGGCTGAACATAGTTACATAGTTTTCTATTTTTGCCAACTCTCTTTGACATATCTATATAAACACTGCAGGGGAAAGTAAATATTTTCTATTAAATATTTTCTCCCAAATAAGAGCCATGGCCATGGCTAGAGTCACACTCCAATAAATAAGAACTTAGCTCTAACTAGTATATTTTTATCTTCCTCCTCTTCCTGTCAGATACTGCTTTAAGTAAGTGGGCAATAAAGCTGTTCAACCACCCAGAGTCACTGGGAGCTGGGCGGCATATACATTTAATTAATTAATAATAACATCTAATATCAGTAACTCCAAAGACCAGGTTTTCTGAAACAAAATTACATCAAATAGAATCAACTAGTCCAGGAAAAAAATCTATCAGACAATTCCGTAGATCAACCAGCTACATTCCATAGAAGGATCAGCAGGTTCTTTGCTTTCTTAGATTGTCAGATTATAGATCAAATTAAGATACAATTTTATACATAGAACCCCCCAAATTTTGGATTTGGCACAAATCCATTTATAAAATTATAGTCCAATAATAGCTTAATTATTTTGCTGCTGCTGTTGAAATAAACTTAAATAAATCTTCCAGTAGAGGTAAAATTGACTCAAAGTTCTAGAGAGTTTGTCTGCTATTATCTAATATTTGATGTATTCTTGCTTAGTACTTCCACATTTGAGCCTTGAAATCTTAAAATAGATAAGCTGTATCTTTCCCAGTAGATCTTCAGTATCATAGCTGTGATCATAAATCAAAAGGGGGGGGGGTTCATTATTCCATATATCCATGACTGATGAGGCATTTACTGTTATGTTTTTCAGAATTGTTTAAATGATGACCATTGAATGAGGGTTGTCTGGTAAAATCAATATATTCTGAGACTCGTTTTTACAACTAAACACTACATCTGGTTCCAGTGGAATAGAATCACATAGCTCTCTCTATTCATTCCAACTCTGTACATTTCCCTTCTGGTCTTATGCATTACCTGGATACATTTTTGATGATTGAAGAACTGGCTGCTTTTGTTTTGAGGACCAGGATGAGATTTTTTTTCAGGGTCAGGATTTGTAGTAGCATTTGCATGCAAGAAAACAGTAAGTGGATCTGCTTTTAAGGTCATATTATTCTTATTTTCCTTTAATTTAAACTAGCACATATATCCTGATCCAGTCTACACTGGACTAGAGCTACATATTATTTGTGTTCTATTCATTGGAAAGGAAAGAATGCACAGGCTTGTTGCTAGCAGCATCAGTTTATTATATTGATTATGTGGTATTAAGTTAATGTCAAATCTTGGTGACCCCAAGTCAGACCTTTTTCAGGATGATTCATCCTCAGTCTGGTGCTTTGTCTTCCAATGGTACATCCATTGCCACTGTAATTGAATCTATCATGGTGCTGATCATCCTCTTTTCTTACCTTCTACCTTTCCCAGGATTATAGATTTCTCAAGAGAGCTTGATCTTCACATAATGTGTCCAAAATATGGTGAATTGAGCCTGATCATTTTTACCTTGCATGAGAACTCTGGCTTGATCAGACTTGCATTTCTGTTATCCGTTTGCTTGTTTTCTTGGCTAACCATGGTATTATCAGGAATCTTCTCTAAAATATACTTTTAGTCCTACGTGGTTTGAGACATGGGCTTTCACAGGACTGCCTCCCCCCCATGTAGAGGTTGCAAAAGATTTGTTTTTTCTCCATATTAAATGGCAAGAAGTGTTTGTTTTAAATAGTAGTATACTATTTATAGAATATTGCCTTCTTAAGACAGGATTGAAAGTTGCTTTGTAATTAGGCAATATGTTTTTAAAAAATATTCAAAAAATAATTAATAGCCACCAATGGCTGCTAATCTTTGTAATTTTAACTGATTTTAGGCACCGTTTTAAATTGTGCATTTTCAGTTACATCTGAATTAGTTATAAACCACAATGAAGAATATAAAAGCAGCTTATATATTTGTTAAATAAAAATACCATTTTGAATATTGATTATCTATGTAATATTAAGAATAGGAATACCTATTAAACAAGAATGTAATATCCGCTATATTCAGAAACTTCTGTTGCACCTTGTGTCTTGTTACAAGCTTTACTTTTCAGCAGAATGTTTGGCAGCAATTTTTTTTTTAAACTCACCTCTGGCTTTTTTTATTAAAAGCTTTGTAAAATTATACACACACACACATACAATACACATACATACATACATACATACTTAATATTTCTCAGTTTAACCTTGTGTGAATCTCCAGGAAATCTAAGCCCGTGGCATCATATTATATTGAGGAAGAAGCAAGACTGTTACCTTGCTTGACCATTATTTCCAAAAATCATTAGGGATATCGGTCTCATCCAGATTCATTTAGCTTCCCAATTTCCAGTTCCATATAAATTCAACTTGGTCTGGTCACTCCCTTTCCATGTTCCCACTGCTTTTACCTTTTCAATCAGTTTTTCTCCATTAGCTAGAATTAGATCTAGGAGAGATGATCCCCTTGTCTTTTTCTCAACTTTCTGAAAAGT